TCGGTCAAAACTTTAGACCTATCTTCAAGCTCATTGTTGCACCAATAGACGCTAAAATTTACCCGTACGGGGTGAAGGAGAAGGTGCTCTAAAAACCATATCTGGAGTATGATGTTACAGCCCTAAAAGAAATCTTTCCCTTCCTGACATTTGGTTAGGGCACGATAAATATCTGACAATACCATAGGAATGATAGTGACATCCTTTCCACGCAATAAAGCGGTAACTATGCCAGATAATCTAATATCAATATATTTGTCATGCCTCGGGAAAACCATCGTCCCTAGAAATGCCACTAGGAAAGCTCTCCGCCCATGGCTTTGCCAAGCTTTGTATCGAATTTTATTATCAGGCTCTTTCCCGTGCTTTGAAAATCCACCCGGACACCCATACCTGTCGTACAAGAAGTCTAGTCGAATGTGCCCTCGTTCCACACTTGCTATTTTATTTTGGCTGATCGCCATCTACTCAAGGAACTTACTGCCAGTGACATCCCTCGGGGCCAAGGGTCTCTTCTTCCGAAGCTCATCGCCTAACTTTGTGTATCCAGCTAACTCCTCTAAAGTGGGAGTCATTTCGAAACCATTAAAACGGAATACGTTGTTATTAGGATCCCAGAAATGCACCAACGCCTCGATTAAGTCCCCCCTTGGGTTGATCTCCATAATATTCACAAAGTTACCCAGATGGTCCTTTATCTTTTCCTGCTCACAAATGCCCATATTTTTCCACCATTGCCTCAGCAACCGGGGTTTTTTATGCACAAGCCAAATCTGCAAGGGCTCATCATCTTTTGGATTTTTATCGGGTCTTCCACTTACTGAATTCATATCTTACCTGGATAAATAAAAATGTGAGGTCAAGTCCTAATATAAACTCGAAGAAATGACACCAGGCAGACTTTTGGATAAGACAATGAACGAACTTCTTAGTGGAGAATTCCTCGTATTGAAAGATCAGTCAACTAAGACCCAACTGATCAGACTTGATTGATATGCCAAATTTGGACGAGAAGGACCAGACTCCAGGATGACTAACCACGTGTCTCACCGAGGAAACAAGACATGATAAAAACTGGCCGACCGAGGACAAAACGATAAAAGGTGACAAGAGGGACAAGATGGTTATTCTTATGAAAACAGTTCTTCAGTACTTCGAAGGAAAGTACTATGGCTGTCTCGGTAAAAACATCCGTACACATGGATAAACGGTTAAAAGCAGACAAAAAATTCATTCTTTTACGAAAACAGCCATTATGGTACTTCCAAAAAAAAGTTTTAAGGTTGACTCGGCTAAGATGGCCGGAAATAAAGGAAACACGGCAAAAATGTGAAAATAAGTAAACAAAATGAATATTTTGCGAAAATAGCTCCTCGACGCTTCCAAGGAAGGCTGTCTTGGCAAAACAGCCGGAATACGAGGGCAAAACAGTAAAAGGTGAACAAAAATAGCAATTTTTTGTTATTATTATTTTTTCGAAAATTTTATGCACGTGCGTAATTTTTATGCCCTTTTTTTTTAAAATATGGGCTAAACCCGATGGAGGTTGCCTACGTATCTCACTAGGTAGTGAGAATAAATCCCGCGTAGTTCGATGAAATCGACTATTTATTTTCTGATTTTTATCAAAATTAATCTTTACACCTCACTTCACACTACTTCAAAAATTTTAGTAAAAAAGGATTATTTATACTAAACTAGGAGAATGTTTTTTTTCTTTGTTTTTATTTGTTTTAATTCCGCTTAACTAATTTTTTAAAGCCAGTCAACAATGCAAGCAAGCCTTCCAAATGATGTAGCAAATAGCACATAATTGAGCATGATGGTCTCAAAGAGGATACCTGTCCTATACGGACCCGGCCCCTATGCCGAGTTTCGCTAAGTCAAATGCACGTGATGCACATAAAGCGAACCTACTAGGGATATCCGGCATGAGGTTTGCTCTTCTAGGATTAAAACCTTTGTTGAGATAGTATCTAGACAGGCTTACTCGAGCGGACAACTCGAGCCGAGGAGGGTCAGTGTACCCGTAGCATTGCTTTCTGGCTTAACTGGTGGTATTCCGCGCCTAAAATACGTGTGACTAAAATCCTTCACCAGGTGACAAGCACCTCTGCTATCTCAAAGAAAGCGCGCTATATCAAGCAAATGCCCAATTTTAATTTCAAGAAGACTCTGAGGGGGTGCGCGGGAAAACAGTTTATATGTAAAGTTCAACAATATCAAAACGGTAAAAATTGAACATGTAGCACATTGCACAAATAAATCACAATATATACAAAATTAATAAAGCCAAAAAAAGTCAACATGTACAAGCTCGAATTCTGGTTGACCCCAGCAGAGTCGCCAGAGCTGTCACACCCTTTTTCTACCCCCCGAAAGATATGTGTATGGATTTATGGTTTAAAGAATTTTTCCAATTAAAGTGACAAAAACTTGAGTAGGGATTATTTTATTTACAGAGTCACCACTTCGAATTGATTTTTTCGGTGTTCCAAGTCACCTTTTATCTGAATCCCTAGTCAAAGGAAGATTTGACTCTTTTATTATTGGTCTGCGAAAACAAAGTCCGGGTAAGGAATTCTGTTGACCGGGGAGAAGGTGTAAGGCATTCCCCGAGTCCCATGGTTCTAGCACGGTCGCTTTATTGACTTAAAATTTGGCTTAAATTAATTTTGGACAAACTGTGATTTATATGATTTTCATGTTTTACCTATCCGCTTTTATTTCTTAATTATTAGAATCATTAAAGAAAATTTTGAATAATAAGATGTAATAACCACACTACGCAAGCGAATGCGTGATCGAGACGAAATTTGTCGATTTAGTCATAACAGCGCTACGTAAGCGAATTCGCAGTCGTGACAAAGAATTATTAACACGTTATTACTTTTAGATAATTTACTACATTTGAGAAAGAAGAAAGAAAAATTAATGTTTGGAGTTTATTCAATGTCAACTACTGCGCAACGCAAGCGAATCCACGATTATAAGCAAGGGATTAATTAAATTAAAAATTAATTAAATTTCGGGTAAGGTATGAGATTATTGAATTAATTTAAATGGATTTTCAAATAAAAATCTATAACTTTCTTTTAAAGAGTTAGGCTCCCACATTAAATATTGACTTTAGGACACATATGCTTGAGTTGCCCCTGATGTTAACTTTTGAATTAATTAAAGCTAATACGATCACCTCTTTCAAAGAGCACATGTAGCATAGAGAGATGATGAACTGCAGAAATTAAATCATATATGAGATTGTATGACCACATCTTAAGTGAACCTCTACATATGCACCAAAATTGCAAAGTTGTCTATGATATTTAACTAAAAAAAACCTGTTTGGCCAACTTTTAAAATTTGGTTATTTTTAAGAGTACCCTTTTTTAAGATGGAGTTGATATTCTTGCGCTAAATATCCTCAAATCTTTTAATTTCCTCCGCCACTTTCAATTTAAATTACATTTCTTAATCCTTATGCTTGTAGTGAATCAAACTTTAAGCTTTTCAAACCTCAATCTTGCCAACATTAGTAAATCTATTTTTTTTTTAATACTACTATTACTTTATACATGGCTCCAATTGATTTTCTAACTTCAAATCCTTAAACCTCAAAAGAAAGATCTTTAAGCTATGTACTGAATCTAAAATACAACAACAGAAACTTTATCATATGAAGTTTAGCACAAAACAAAAGGACTTGACAATATTAGTAATTCAATTTTCAACATTAGAACATTTATTTCAACACTAGAACACTCTTACCTCACTAATTCTAAAGCTATGCACCATGATCTAAGTAGTCCAAACTAACACCAAAATATGGATATTCAAATCTGCCAACTACAAAATAAACTAACTATAAACAATAAAATGATCATAATATAGAACTTTTAGCACTCAAATATTCAGCAGATTCCTTGGAGACAATTGCTCGAAATAAACTAAACCAGGTTGATCTTTCATTATCTTCTACTATAGAAAAGAACCTGCATTACAAGTGTTTGGAAAGTTACCTGAAACGCGAAAATACAGCAATAAAGGTAGCAAAAAATCAGCAACAGGGACAGTACAACAGCAACTCAGTGTTAAGATAACCCGGAATACTCAATAAGGATGCTTGAAACTAGTAGCTAAATAACTTCATGAATTTCCCAAGAGATCCTTCTATTTTTCTCAAGGCTTTTGTACTCTCAGAAACACTCACTAAGATCAAAATTTTCAGCTTACTAAAGGGTTCTTCAGCTGCTGATTTTTACTCTCAAAGTTGTATTTTTAGGGTGTAAAAACTATCCAACAAATGTGTTATCCCAGTCCCCTTAAAAATGAGGAAAGGGCAGCCCTTAAATAGGCAAAGAAAACCACTTTTTGGGTAGATTTTGGTTCACCAAAAATCTGCCCAAAAAGGGACTGACTTTGTGTGCTAAACACTGTTCAAAGGCTGTCCAAAAGTGAAAGGACAGCCTGAAAATCTGCTATAGCAGAAGCAAGGAGAAAAAACATCATTTCAGCCACCCTAGATGTTAAAGTGAACAACTTTGTACCTTAAAACATGATCAACTCACCTAACCTTCAGATTTTATCAACAACAATACCAAACTAACTTGCTCAAACCAAATAAAAATGAGTAAATAGAAACAACTATCTAATCGAACCATTAACCAACAAAGAGAAACATAACTTAAAGACTAAGCAAAGACATGTGTTGACTTAGTGAAGACCTTAATAGAACTCAATAGTTAAACTAAAGCGAAAATTTAGAAAAATATAATTCAAACTTAACTATACAAAGTAAAACTAAAACATGTTAACAGTGAGACAAACTAAATAGAACCGATTAAGTTAAACAACGACGAAATTAAAAATTAGATTAATCATTGAACTAAATGGAAACTAAAAGAATTTAAAATAAAACAAAAACACTAAAAACAAACGCGAACAAAAATAGAAAATTAGGGGCGGGGAGAAAGGGAATCGATTTTACCTAATTTCGACCAATGGGGTGGTGGTGGTGCGGTGGCAGTGGTGCCAGTTCGGGAAGTGTTCGATCCCAAGCAAGTTCTTATTGTTGATAAACACTGAAACATTTAAACTCAGGTGAACCGGAGTTCGATTTCAATGTAATCAACAATAAAAACTTGCTCTAGATCAGAATATAGAGGAAGGCAGAGATATTCGCCATTTTTGGTGACTGCCGGCGACCCGCCGGAATCCAGTCGCCGGAATTTGGGTCGAGGCCAAGTCTGTTGGTAGCCCACACCAAGCTCCATTCATCCATATAGGTATTAGGTAGAGGAGATGGCTTAATCTTCACGATTTTAAGGAAAAAGTGGATTGTGGGTTTTCTTAGATCTAAAAATCGTGGAATTTGAGTGGGTTTTGAGGGATTTGATTTGGAGATTTGGAAAGACGAGGTTGAGGGGAGTAGGGAGTGAATTTTTTGTGGTGTATGGACGACATCCGCCGCCGGCGGTGATTTTCGGTCGGCGGAGCTACCGTGCAGGGAGGCGGAGAGACAGAGAGATGAGAGAGTGATGAGAGAGGAAGAAGAAAAGAAAATAGGAAAAAAAATGGGGGCATTTTTCGGCCCTTTTAGGCTTTATATACCTGGGGTGGGGGATAAATAATGACCATTGGATCATGAGGGAATGGATGGGTGAGATTGAGTCTTTGTCACTTAAACCAAAACGACGTAGTTTCAAGACAAAGCTACGTCGTTTTGAGCTCTTTCTTGGCCAACCACCTAATGGACCGGGTATGGCCGAATTGGGTTCAAATTTTGGGCCAATTTTGGCACAACTTTAATTAAAATATACTAGCCCAATCCCTTTTCCCTCTAATGAATTAATTAAGGGATTTTTTCCTATCTATACCATATATGAAACCTTATTACCAAAAATGTTCATAATTTGTTAATTACCCGCCCAGTCCACACTTTTACTACAATTTATATACCAATCCATAATTAGGCAGATTCTGCCATTTAAAACGCGCTAAAAAGAAGGCACGAAATCTGTGTTTGATTCTTTCCACATTAAATTCGAATTTTGAAACGTAAAGAGATCTCATTGCTGCGTAATTCTCTCATTCACTACAATTCTAAAACAACGCAAGCTTCAGGAGCTCCAATACTCAATTTGCTTTTACAAATTCTACAATGCAATACAAATTGTAGAATTCAAAATTGTTCTTCATCGACCTCAGTACTCAAATTGTCGAACCTATATCTGTTCTTCATCTCTTTTCTCTCAACTACGCTAAATCATGTCAAAAATCCCAATAATGCTAAAATTGAATGAAAATTGGGATAACTATGGCAGATTTAGAGATTTTGAAGTTGATGCCATTGTGGTAGATGAGAATGCAAGCAACGGAATTCTGATTTCTACAATTGCAGAACAACTATCAATTGATACATCGGATAAAATTGTAGAAATCAAATACATTGTGAACGACAATTGTCCTCCAATGGAGATTAGGAATGATATGGGAGTTCGTGTGTATATGGAGACCAAAAAGGAGAATAAGAACTTAGGTTCGTATCCTTTATGTATAAGCGTAAGAGATTTCAATATGGAATTGGCAATCACCAACGATAGCACAAGTGCAGGTATGTTTAATTCGACATTGCAGAGAGTTATTGTGTTAGTGTGTTATCTACACTATTACAATATTTATCTACAAATTAACTACAAAAAACAATGTACTGAAGCTCATAAAGCAACGTCGTTTTCAAAATTATCTACATAGTTACTACATTTATCTCTATGTTGTTGCAGGTTCGTCTGGATCCGTAAAGTTACTTGAAATTCCATCCTCACCAGCTATAGAGGAATATCAAAGTGAAATAATAACTGAATCTACGCAAACATATATTGAAGAAGGACAAGTTTATCAGGACAAGCAAACTGTAGCTGCTGCAATGAAGAACTTTTCTGTGATGCACAAGTTCCAGTTCAGATAAAAGATAAGTCATAGAGTATGGATATTGTGAGAATGAATCATAAAAAGTATGTTTAAGTGAAGATATAGTGGTTTTTATAAATTGTAGTTAATTAGTAGTTAAAATGTAGTTAATTGTAGTTTTGACGAATTTGTGTTAAAACAGTCCTTTTTGTTGCTTCTACATCTATAGCCTGTATTAAATATTGTATTTTTTTTGTAGCTACTGGCTTATATGCGTTGCTGAAAACTGTAAATGGCACTTCAAGGCAACGTCAATTAATGATTCGGCAATGTTCAAGATAAGGAGTTTCAGCCGACAACACACATGCTCCTTAATGGACGAAACATTCATACAGCGCAAACGTACTGCAGCTGTAGTTGGTAGCATGGTCGTTCCAAAGTATTGTGATCCTAAGACTGTTTACACACCAAAGGACATACAAACTGACATGTTATCCGAACATGGACTGAACCTAAGCTACATGCAAGCATGGAGAGCCAAGGAAAAGGCTTTACAGTTTTTGAGAGGGAATCCGTCTGACTCCTATAGCAAATTACCCAAATATTTTTATATTCTTGAAGAGACTTATCCTGGTTCTGTTGTTAAATTGAAGAAGGCAGCAGATGATTGCTTCTTATACGCATTTGTTGCTCTTTGTACATCAATAAGTAGTTGGCAACATTGTAGGCCAGTAGTAGTGCTTGATGGGACATTCTTAAAGTCAGCCTACAGGGGGATTATGCTTACAGCAAGCACCATGGATGCAGCAGGTAAATAATGTAATAATTTTGTAGTTATTTTGTAGGCAGTCTATAAAATGTAGTTAAATTGTAGTTATATTGTAGTTATTTTGTAGTTAACAGAAAAAAATGTAGATAAATTGTCTATATTCTGAATATATATTGTAGTTGTTATTTAATTATATTTTTATATACCTTTTCAGGGCTGCCAATTAATATTTTATGAATTAAAAATGTAGGTACTATATTGCCCTTGGCATATGCTGTGGTTGATTCTGAAAACGACGCGTCTTGGAAGTGGTTCTTTGAGCAATTCAAGGAGGCATATGGTGAAAGACCTTCAATGTGTGTTGTTTCAGATAGGAATGAGAGTATACTGAAGGCAACATCAATTGTCTATCCGGGCATGCCACACTACTCTTGCATGTGGCATATTTGGACAAATATAAGGTCCAAATTCAAGAAGGGACATCTACAATTACATGAATTGTACTTTGCTACAGCACGGTCATACACTCTGGATGAATTTAATGAAAGGATGTTGAAGATTGAAGAGGTAGACCCGCGTGTGAAATCTTACCTATATGATATTGGCTATCATAGATGGTCAAGAGTACATGCAACGGTGAATAGAACTTTTACTATGACATCAAACATTGCCGAGTCGTTGAATGCTGTAACAAAAGAGGCAAGAGAGCTGCCAATATATGATCTATTAGAGTATATGAGGACGCTTCTTGAACGTTGGACGAAAGAGAAGTTATTGAAGGCAAAGGGTACTTTCACATACCTTGGGTACAAATTCAACAAAGAATTGGATGACAACAATACATTATCTCAGAAACTAAGGGTAAGATCTGTTTGTTTGGTGAAAAAAAATTGCTTAATATGCATTGTTTTCAGAATGTAGATAAACTGTAGTCAAATTGTGGGTAATTGTAGATTGTAGATAAGTTGTAATGTATTTGTAGCTGATTTGTAATTAAGTTGTGGATAATCCTTTTTAATGATTGATATATTATTATTTCTGTTTGTTCTCAGATCATATACATACTGTGTTAGATGGTGTGAAGCGGTACATTGTGTGTCTAGAAAACAAGAAATGTAGCTGCGGACAATTCCAACTTGATGAACTTCCATGTGCGCATGCTTTGGCAGCATTAAGGCACAGGAAGGAAACATACGAAAACTATTGCTCTCCGTATTACACAAGGAAGAGCCTTCTGCTTACCTATGAAATGCCAGTAAATCCTCTTCCTGATAAAAGCAAATGGGATGTGCCACAACATATTTTGGATGAGGTAGTAAAGCCACCGGCGGGAGATAAAAGGCAGCCAGGGAGACCTCACAAGGAAAGATATAAAACATTTGATGAAATAAAGTCAAAGAAGTACAAGGTGTCATGTGGAAATTGTGGAGGTGAAGGGCATAACAAAAGAACTTGCAAGAATGCGCCCAAAAAGAAATGAATATCATGTAGTTAGAATAGTTATTTAAAATAAATGTTAGTGAGTTCAAATTATCCGATTTTTTTGTGTAATCGTTCAAGTTTTTGAAGATGATTATGAAGTATAATACAATTTCTTTATTTGCATTTAATATGATTTTATGTATTCTGTCAGGCATCTTAATTTGTCATTTTTTCTAGCTTAGTTAAACTTTAATATTTACTATATACAAAACAACTGATATTAATAAAGAATTCATTCAATTTAAAGTGTTTCCAGATTGTAGTTAAAATGTACTTTAAATGTAGTCTAATTGTAGTCCTGTTAATAATTTGTAGATGATTTGTAGTTAAAATGTAGTTTAAATGTAGTTTAAATGTATTTAAATTGTAGTCTTGTTAATAATTTGTAGATGATTTGTAGATAAATTGTGGATAATTTATTTATATGATTCCTGTATTTATTTCATCTTTTGGCTGTGTACCTTAATTACAAATGACAGTTATATACAGAAATTACCTAGAACTTGAAGGTATTTCAACAAAATTACTTGAAGATTAAAGGCGAATTGTATTCTAGCAAATCAGAGTACTCGCGTTTAATGTAATGAAGATAAAGTGCTGTAAACAACCAAAATGACATATTTCCTACAGTGTATTCACTTCAACTACAAAATGACATCAACTAAACTAGGAACACAATACGCTATTTCTTCTTTCTCTGTACTGTAGTCCTCTCATTTTTAGCAGGAGCACCCTTCCTCCTTAATAGCCTGCCTGTAACCTCACTTTCACTGATTGACCCATCTTCTTGCTTCTTTGTAGCATAGTCCCATAGTAGAGCTCCATAGCGTCTACGGTGTTGATCGATATCAGAAAGATCTTCTTTTGGGATTGCCAAATCTCCAAGGCTAACATACTCCGCAAAAGCCGCCACAAATACACCACAATCGCTGCATAAGATCAAATTCATTATGTAACAATTGATTAAAATAAAATAATTAAACATATAGAAAGTGAGAATAGTTTTTTTACAGTGATCCTTCCTTTTGCTGTGGAATCTCCGCAATCATCCACTGTATGTTGAGGGGGTCTGTAACTGGTTTCTCAATGTATGCATTTGTGGTCTTGAAGTCAATGTCTTTACATTTCCCGTAGAAACCAGTGCAAGACAAATACAGAGGGATAATGATTGAAAACTTATCAACCAATGATTCAACAGTATTATGACGGTTTGAAGAAACCATGGAATCATAAACATAAAGTTGCCTGTCCGCTATGTCGAAAACGAGCAACAACCAATGAAAATTCTCTACAATGTTCACAGGCATGATGACATAGTCAACTACATCCCAGGCAACATTAGCAAGAAGTCTATACCCAAGGATATATTCTGCAACATCATCATCTGATTTAACAACCGAATACTTAAGTTCTGGTGGAGAACTTATGAACTTGTCATAGATTCATTCAATCTTGGTCCTGAACAAGCAATCGGTTGTTGTGAACCTAATGTCGTTGTTGGGGCCATACTTGCCTCTTTTTCTCAAATAATACATAATAACATCATTGTGCTGCAAAATAAAATAAAGTCTACTATAAGCTACATAGTAACCATAATTATCTACATAACAGCTACAACTTAAACTACAATTTGAACTAATCAAATAATCTAACAGATTGCTACACTTTAGCTACTATACAGAGGAACAAATGCAACATAGCAACTAGCATAAGGTCTAAAAAATAACCAAATTCAACCTACAGTTAATATTATAAGTCTATGTAAATTTCTCTACAATGTTACTACAAAGTAACTACAATTATGGTACACAGATATTCCAATTCTGTCCAAAGTACCAAAAAATCCAATTTGTACGTACAATCATCATCAAATATGAGACATAAGGTCCATAAAAAGCACAATTACATAGCTGAAGACAAAACATAGTAACCTATATATCTTGTCTACAATATAACTACAAATACACAACACAGCTGAAGACAAAACTACAATATAACTACAATTACACTACACAGCTGAAGACAAAACACATATTGTGAATGATTCTGTTCTTTATACTTACCGTGTTATTGATGACTTGTCCTGGGTGAGCAAGGGCATAAAACCAGTCCTTCTTATCCACCTTTTCACAACCAAAGTCTAACCAAGGCTTGATTTGGTTATCCTTTTTGGAAAGTATTCTTTCCTCCTGTAATAACAAAAAAATATCAATAAAAAAAATGACAGAATGAATTACATATTTAAAGTTTAAAAATGGTGAAATGAAAGTGTAAAATTAAGCATTCATACCTCTTAGATACTTTGTCACTACGAAGGTATAACCAGTTGGTGGACCTTTCTATCAAATCAGCATCTACATTTTCACCTATAACAGTTGTGAAGGGGTGCTTGAGGTAGAAAAATTTAGGTCCGACAGAGGTGCTGCCTCCAGAACTATACAGAGGTGTGAAAGGTGATCGTGCATGTTTCCCCGGTTGCCTGGTTCTACCCGGATGAATAGGGGTTGCTTCATCTGGTATGGGCTCGACATACATGACCAATTGGGTTAAGTTGTCTGGCAACTCAAAGTCATCCAATGTCAGACCTTTCTTGTCAATGCCTGAACCTTCAGGAACAACTTCATTCACAGTCACACCGTGAATTGGCGACTGTGGAACGTTATCTTCAATATCTGTTACATATAAAATAACATACTTAACAGCATTGTATAATTGTATAAGCAACATTATCTATTCAAAAGTATATTATGATAATATACCTACTTTTTCTACCTCAGCTCCTTCCTGAAATCCTGGTTCTTCCTCAACCATTGCTGGCACACCTCCAGGAGAAACTTCAGCGTCTGAAGATAAATGTAGATGTATGTAGTTATGCACAATATTGTAGATATAAAGTGAATATAATGAGCTTCTGATATTATACCTGCTTGTTGTGCCTCAGCTACTTCTTCAAATTCTGGTTCTTCCTCAACATGTGCTTGGAGATGTTCTGTTGAAACTTCAGCTTGAATGAATAATTTAAAAAATGAGAATTGTAGATATATGTGGGAATTTGTAGTTAAAGTGTGAATTATAAAATTTTTGCATTGTAACCTTATTGTAATGAAAGTATGATAGTATACCTGCTTTATATGCCCCAGCTGCTTCTTGAAAATCAGGATATAAGTCAAAATGTGCTTGAACATGTTCCGGAGAAATTGCAGCTGCAAAACATAGTGAAAAAGGGGTTAATATAATTAGATAATGCTTTCTTGAAGTTTGTACATATGTCTGTAGGAATTCTATAGATACCTGTATTGCTTGTGCTTGCATGCACTTGATCACCAATATTGAACTGAAATTGCTGGTTGTTCTCTCGTTGTTGTTGGTCATTATTTTTGGTTGAACTACCAGCAAACTACAATTTTTGGGTATGTTTGAGTATACTTGTTTCATATGTCATAATTAGTTCTAGTACAAAAATATATGTCAATTCTTACCTTTGACTCGTCCACATCGTACTTCCTGTTTATCACCTTCATAACACTCTTCACAGAAACATCTATGAACTCTCGAAGGCTTGAGAGTTCCTCAAAAACAGCCTTACTAAATTCAGCTAACTTTCCATCAACCTAAAAATTAAATATATAATTAGTTGTTAATCTTATTCAAAGTGCTACAGTTCCACAACAATTTAACAAAGATTTGTGCAATACCAACAGGGCTCAATATAGAATTATACCACAAATTAACTACAATGTATAACATACAATAATTGTTATGGAATGAAGTTAAATTGTAGCAAAAAATGTCAATATATTGTAGTTATTTATATTACCTGCTCAATCCCCTTTTCCAACTTCCTGAGCTTGCTAGTCACAGATTCAGTGTCCTCTTGACAATCTGTATCTTTTGGTTCAAATGTTGGAGAAGCATCAATTGGAACCTGTGATGATTGAGCACCATGTTCATCTTCATACTGAATCTTGTCTGGCAGATTAAGCACTCCAATCTCTTCTCCTAGATTCAGTCATGTTTGTGAACTGAATGATGGAATAA